TGATACCACTCTCATGTCTGTACGGTAAATATGAAGCCGCAGCAGGTTGGCTTAGCTTTGCATGAAGGCCGGGGGAAACAGATCCTTTAAACGTGACAGACGTACAGAAACATAAGTGGGAAAATAACAATCCACTGTTGTGTGGAGGACTATTTCTTATAGCTGAGCAGTTGCCATCTAACCAGCGGCAACAACAGGAAGTTACTGGTCCAGCCAAACCACAATACAGAACATAAAATTAAGCAAACAAGATTTAACATGTTAATTAGTGAGCTTTAGAGCTACTTATCCCCTTTTGGCAGAACCAGCTGTTTCCCCTTTATGTCCAGTCTGTACACTAAAAGCTAAGCTAAGCTAACCAGCTACATACAGTATTTACTGCACAGCTTTGAGAGTGGTATCGACCTTGTTAACTAACTCTCAGCAAGATAGCAAATGAGCATATTTCAAATCATTCCTATGATTGTTTGCTGTTTTATGTGCCGTTCAGATGGGCAGTCAGTGCAGAACCAAACTGTTTCCAGATGTTGGCAGGTTCCAGCCGACACTTTGGGGTCAGTTCTAAGTTCCCAGGATCATATTCCCCAGATTTATATGAAACACAATGTGAACATGACAAAGGGTTCCTATGTTACCAGTATCATAGGTTCTGTAGTTGTAGGTATTGGGGGTTACTTCAAAGGTTCTGCACTTACATGATCTCTCTAAATTTGTCCTCTCCGATCTGTAACACTGTCGTCAAAGTTCTGATCCTGAAACAACAGGCGAACGTTTCATTCAGAGTGCTGAGTGAGCGCTCTGATATCCCCAGTCAGTGTCATCTCTGATAGGAATACTTGTCTCCCGAAGCCTCTCCTCACCACTCTCTGCTTGTTTTTATATTTATGTGGAGAGCCGTTTTAAAACTGCGGGACGAGCTCCAGTACGAGTCCCATAGGTGTACTTCCTCTGGGTCATCAGGAGTAACAGTATGTTTTCATGAGCCTGGTGCCTCATCATGACTGCAGGATGAACAAGACAATGTTTATCATGCTGGGCTTGATGTTTGTTGGCACGGCTCTCCACCTCCACCAGTCCACCTTTTCAAGCATTTCAGGCAACAGTATTGATATCAGTCTGCAACATTTATCAAGCGGTATTTATTAAGAAAGCATCTGAAAATATGCAACTAAATATCTCAGCTGCGAACACGGTCGCCTGTGTTTTCATTTTTCACCAATACCTTTTGTGCAGGACTTACTTCACTGCGCTCATGCGTGAGCTGATATCACACAAATCAGACCCCCACCAGCCAACAGTGTTAGAGCGTGTCGTAGGGGCAATATGCGCCCGTGCTGCTCAACATATGTCCCTGTGGCTTCAGGTCTCATCCTGTGATGATGTGAAGAGCTCGCTGGTGGAAGCTGCTCGCGTCTCACCAGGCCGCTGGTCCAAACGCACAGCTCCGCCAAGGAGCTGTTAGCATCAAATGTATGTGTGTGTGTGTGTGTGTGTGTGTGTGTGTGTGTGTGTGTGTGTGTACAGCATGAGATGATGGAGTGTGTGTTTCAGATGACCGCCCGAGGTATGTCCCATCTGCTCAATGTAGCATTTACACCTCCTCCTGTTTGTCTGCGTGTTTGTGTGAGGAAAGTGTGAGCACAAAAGCTTAGTGTGCTTACTTGTATTGTGTGTGTGGTGTGTGTGTGTGTGTGTGTGTATATGTATGCACCTCTACTCCCTGATCAAGCCATTCCTGCAGCCATAAATGCACACGTTTCAATGTGCAAGCTGTCATACCTCATGCATTATCAACTAGTACACTGACATGGCATAATCAACCTCCCCCTGCTGCTTCTCACACCAACCAAAGCTCGTTATCATCCCCCTCCATCAGATGAGAAAAATGAAACTGTAAGAAGCTCACAGTGAAGAAATGTCACATGTTTATGATGCTAAACAAGAGGTCACATTACAACTGGTTCTGGCTCGCTGACATTTTACATGCTACTGTGATTGTACTGATGCTCATCCAGGCTGTAGACACAAGCTGTGCACTCCTTTGAGACGTCTGAGCAGCAGGTTGAGGTGCAGAGGGATGAAGGCACCAGTGAGTCAAGCTCACACAAGATGTTTGGGGTTTTAGTGGAGTGCAGGGAGCTGTTTTACGTGCGTGTGTGTGTCCGAGTCATTGAATAATTGATGAGGGCGATGTGCAACAGCACATGTGAACGGGCTCCATCTGTGACCTCAGTTGATAAGGATCGCTGCCGTCCATGAAATCGGTAGCTTCCCTTCACTTTGTGGTGCCGGAAGTTCAAAGCAGGGGGAGGCCGGGGGAGGAAGAAAGAGGCACATATGGATCGGTTTTTGTACAAGCCATATAGCTTTTTGCATCTGAAAACACAAGACAAAGAGAGATTTCTGTAGTTGCAAAGGGAGGATGTGGCTTTGAGAAAGCCAGAAAGTAGAGGAACAGAGTCTGCCAAAACAGATTTTGATGACAGAAATGTCTCCAAGCCATAGGTCACCAAGGTCATAGTTTCACCAGAAGAAGAAATTGGGACTGATTGTGGAAAATTGCATGAACCTCGTTTTGTATCGATATCGTAGATTAAGTCACAAATGACTGCCTGCCCTTTGCGAAGGATTTTAACTTTAAATCACTGGTTTGAAATCTTGGGAAATATGCTTGCTCACTTTTCTTACTGAGAGTTAGACGAGAAGATTGATACCGCACTCTGCTTTTTATGAAGCTACAGCTAAGAGACGTTTAGTTTAGCCTAGCATAAAGACTATAAACAGGGGAGGAAACAGCTAGCATGGCTCCGTCCTAGGGTTATTTAGGGGGCTTTAGAGGTGCTGGTAGGACAGAGCCCAGCTGGCTGTATAGAGAGAGTGGTATCAATCCACTCGTCTAACTATTACTAGAAAGTGAATAAATACATTTCCAAAAACTAATTCCTCCATCAAAGTGCGTGTACACTCTCACTGTATGGGGTGATGGGAAGTCATTTGGGACAATTTCTGAAGGGTTTTTTTTGCCTTCTAAACTCACACACAACCAAGCCATGTTTGAACTGAATGTTCTCTTTCTGCACATTTAAAACAAGGCCTGCTTCACCATATTACACACACACACACACACACACACACACACACACACACACACACACACACACACACACAGTTGTCAGAGTCACACATTCAGTCTTTACATGGGATTCTTTATGAACACAACACAGCACACAAAGCACTTGCAATATGTATGTTTCTGTCACAAATAGTATACTCTGTTGCACCAATGATGTTTTCTTATATTCTTTTCCACGATGTACTCAAATGAATTCTATGAATATATGATGATTTTTCTCAAAGAAGAAGAATCAATACACACTGACTGTTAACTCCTGTACCAGTTTATTTTTTTCTTTCTTATCCGATCTCTGTGTGTAGAAACTGCCTTTGTTCTCGTTGTAAATGGCGTTTACTGACCAATTGTGTTCTGGTGCTGTTGTTGTTTGACTCTGTGTGCAGTTTAGACCTTCTCCAGAGTAATCTGTGTGACTGGAAGACTCTGGAGGCATCTGGTTATAACTGAATAAAGATTTTTTGGCAGCTGTTTGTTAGCCGCTGTCACTGTGTCATTTCTCATCTCTGCTGAGTTACTAGTTACTTTTCAGATGCAGATTTTACATACGAAACAGGTGATTATTTTAACTGTTACATAGTTAATAGTAGCCTTACAAAAATCCCATAATGTAATACAGAAAAATATATCACAGATAGGTCTTTCTGCTACATAATGAGTACTTTTATTTTGGCAGTCTAAGTACATTTTGCTGATTATACTTAAGATTATCAGTGCAGGACTTCTACACCATCATCCATCTTCCACTCAGTAATCATTCAGTAATCAATCAATCAATCAGTTATCTGAACACCTACTTCAACATTACCTCATGAAGGGAAAAAGCAAACTTAAGTGGAACATTATCTCGGCCCATAAGGATGTAATTTATCCTACTTTTGCACTTTTATTTATTTAATAAAAGTGCTCCAATCTGGTTGAAAAGTAGGAATTTTCCTTTCAAAATTACACTTCAAGAGGATTTACATGAATAAGGTTCTCAATTTTAGTTTGTTATTGATTAATTTCCACCCTTATCTAGAAACACGATGATTTTCTTCACTGCTTAGGACTAACAAAATACTTCAAAACCCCCACTTGACGAGGAGTAACTGACTTTCCCTGCCAAATATAAACCACATTATAACAGTGAAATTTAAATTTGTACTTCTGCTTTTGCCACCACTTTAAACAGGATGTTGGCATTCCCCTACAGGCTTTACTCACTCTCTTTTTATAGTATGACATTAAAGTGCCTAAATCAAATCTTTGATGTTTCTCTATTAACATTATTTAATGACCAAATAAGTAAAGAGTTTCTGAAAAACATCCAACCATCATTTACTTTAGATTTAAATCCTGGAGACAGTCCCGCCCACTTCAGACCAGTAAGAGGAGCAAAGACACAAACATATATTTATCTTATATTTATGCTGATAGTAAGAAGCAGATTAAAAACATTTCGGAACTCTCATGTCCTCATTATCCTCCTGGATCTTTTACGGAGAGAGCTACTGACTCTAGGCAGCAGTTATAAATATGAGTAAATCTTGTCTCCTGGTCAATCTGGTCTGGTCTGGATTGAGAAAAATAAAGCCATCCGGTGTTGCTTCTGTTCTTGGCTGCCCTCTTGTGTTTAAAAAAGGTACTGCGGGCGAATATGGCTTTTGTTTTGTCCTCAATCAGTTTCAGTTTTAACCAAAGACATCCAGCTTCTTTTGTCTTCTGTGGTTAATTCAAAAATGTTTTCCCACATTAGACACACTGACGCATTAAAAGTGTCACATCCTTCAAACACAGCGGTACGTTACATTTAAAGGAACTTCCCTCTCAGTCAAACAGGATTCTCACTTTCACCCCCTCGTTGTTACATAAAGACCAAGAATCAGTCTACTTCAGAGGTATTTTTAATTAGAGTACATTTCTTCTCTCCATGGTTCCAATTAAAGAACAAACAAATCCTGTGTGTTGTGTGTATGACTAAATACAAATAAAACCCTCGTGTCTGAGATAAAAGGCTGTAATGAATTCTCACAGTGAACCAGGTCATGGCTGGAAAGTGATGTTACATGAGGACGTGAGATACTGTAGTACTGTTAAAAATCCATTACACTGATGTTCAGCCAGTCGTCCACCAGCGGGGTAAGACTTGTACCAGGACGGTCCGGCTCAAACAAAGACAAGTGTTTGTTTTAAGTCCTTGTGTCCTCCATTTGTGTACCAGAGGAAACCTTGACTGTGTTCAGATTGGCTCTGTTTGCCCTTCAAGTTTTATTTAACTTTCATCAGTAGCCCTGTGTATATTTGTCACCTAGAAAAAGTGTCTGGTGAGAGTAACTGTTCAGTAGTTTAATAGTTTCTAGGATGTAATCACATGAAGCGGTGTGAGAATGTAAAGCCAACCCAAGAGATTGGTCCTGTGATTGAAGATGTAACGCTGATGTTGAACATTTCGAAAAGGTGTTGGTCTGTATGAAAGCAGCATTTTAAGCAAATACTGTATATATATATATATATATATATATATATATAATTCTGCAGTTTGCCAAGACGTTATCAAAAGAGGCAGATTTTGATCGGTTTGTGCAACTTCCTAGAAACTAATCAAAAGAAATAAAAGGTTAAGAGTAACACTAAATCTACAGACATGCGAGCAGCTCTGTGAGGCTGTACATGCTGATTAACCTAGTAAGCAGGTATAGTCTTTATATTATAGTCTTTAGCCCATTAGCTAACATTTACTAATAATTAGCATTAAAAACAAAGTACAGCTGAGACTGGGAACATTAGCTTTCCAACTATTTAGTCTTAAACCATAGAATTGAACAAATTGTGATATATACCCAATGATGGCGCTAGAATGAAAAGTTACGGGACCCCCAAAATTATTACAATTGAGCCGCGGGGGGACATGAATGTTAGTACCAAAATATCAGGCAATCCATCCAATAATTGTTATGATATTTCAGTCTGGATCAAAGTAGTGTACCAACCAACCAACCAACCTATAGTGCCATCTACACAGCACATTATAGGTAACGTTAAGGTAACGTAAACCTTCTCTTACATTAATCAATGTACAAAATAACATCCACCGGAGTCTCCTGCTTTGCTTTTATCTATATTACAGAAAGGGGGAAGCTAGGTGTTAGCTCCCATTCAGAAACAATGGACAAGTGTTTAAATATTGACTCTGGCGCTGAAAGAGACACATTTATTTCACTCTCACCTTGTGTCAAGGCTGAACATTGTGTTTGCTCTGCTTCTGTTCTGCTGATCTTGGCCATTTTCCTGTAGCTATCGAAGCATGGAGATCCTTTTCTGACAGACTCTTAACAATGGGAAAAGGTTGATTTTTATTCTGGAGTGTGTGTTTTGAAATACCAGCTTTGGTATGAGTGGCTGCAGTCGTGACACACTGTTTGAGTAGCTCAGTACTGTGGGTTGAATTACACAAAGTGTTGTACCTATATGACACAAAAAGGCATACATTCATATTCTGAACACTGTGTTAGACTATTTTATGATTGTGCGGTGTCCTAAAATTAATATAATGAAGAAAACGGAAATCAAGGTTGGTCCCAAAATGGAAACCAATAGTAAACCAAGAATGGCCCCAAAATGGAGGCAGACAAAACAAGTGCTTATAATAATAACTCCAACATACTATAATAAGAGCCATGCAGAAGCAACAAGCCAACAAGTGCCTGGTTCACATACAAAGAATAAAGTTTTTAAGTGTAAATCCTTCTCTAAATCAACTTCGTAATTGTAAATCTTTCTCTATTTGTGCAATTTTATACACTCAAAAAAATGTAAAACGGTGTTAATTTTTATAAAGAAAAAATAGGAGCATGTTTGGCATCTGAGCTTTGCTGGTTAGACAAAGGCAGAAAAATAAGGAGTGCGGGAGGGAAAGGAAAGCCATACAACAAGGCAGAGGGCAGGGGGCGGGGGGCAGGGAGGTTTCTCCCACAGCGAGCCAGAATAGACTCAAAAAATATACGACCGGCACGAGACCACACGCCTGCACCCATCCCATGCTTTCAGTTTCCACACTGGTTAACAAGTAAGCACACGTGTCAGACAAAAAAGGACCAGACAATTAGATCACACGGAAGGCTCGGGTAAGTCATTTGTTTCCAATAAAGGGAGACTGGCACACAAAAGTTTAGAGGGCGAGTGTTGACGGCTCAGGGGCTAAAGGGTCAAGTGAGGAGGGGCGGTGAAGAGGTCAGGGGAGGTCAGCCAGGTCTCAGTTCATCGGCGTCTCCTGGGTGGGCAAGCCTTCAGGCTGATCGAGCAAAGACTCGGTGGTGGGACTGCTGCTGTCCTGGTCGCCGGGGTTAGTGGTGGATGCTGATGGAGTCATCTTGGTCTGAAGAGAATAAGGGAGGAAGAATAATGAAATGATGGACTCCCGTTACCCAAGTTAACATGTGAAATATATGTATACAAAAAACAACAAGAAAAAAAGAGAAAAAAAATCTAAATCTGTGGTGAAATATTTTAAACTCAAGGTTCACTTAGTAGATTTTTATAGAACTAAAATGGCGTCTGAAAAAATTACAATTTAGCCTGTAAATTAATCTCTTTAAAGTGAAACTATGAAAGAAAAATAACACAATCTTCCTCTTCTGAATGCAACGTTGAATTCATAAGAAATGAAACGCAACCTCACACCATTCAATACACAGAGGGAATCTGCTGCCACAGCCTTACTTGCTTTGGTATAATCATTAACTCATGGTGGCTAATGTTAGCTAACTGTAGATAACACTGTAGAACTATTATTTCTAGATCTGTTTGCTGGTTGCTTTTTTGGGGGATTTTTAAATTGCGATGCATATTGTAATGTTTTAGGCATTTGTTTGCAATTAATTTGCGGTGGAGAAAAAAAAAACAGTTACAGTTAACTGTTAGAGGTATAAAGTCATTAAAAATCAATGGCAACTTGTCCCAGTGAGAATAAAATCACTAGGAGTTTGGTGACGTATGGCTCAGCGTTTTCTGGAGGGCTATGATTGGTGACAACGATCGGTCGAATCTGAGATTAAAAATTGTAGCAACCGGACAAATGATAGTCAATGAACTATCTGTGACCTCTCAGATAAATCAATAAAGCTATGAATAGAAATATGACATATTACTGATTGAGGGGGCGATGTTTACAATTGAGTTAGGCTAATTCTCAAACCACCTGATCAGGTCGATAGACTTCAATAAGCTGCCAAAGGGCAACATCAAAGTAAAAACACATTACAGCACAAATACAATTGAACTGAATTAGTCACATTTCCTGTATACAGTCCTGGTGGACCTTTAAGTCAAGTGTGGCCATTAGTCCTGTTTTTAATCTGTTACCTTCAAAGTCTCCACTTTCTCCTCAAATGACTTGAAAGTTGGTGCATTCCTGTGTAAGAAAAAGACACAAGTGACAAGATTAGAGACCGACCAACAGCTGATATATCGAACATGCTTATACACTTTTGGGAAAGTGGAGAAGCAGACAACAAAGGGAAGAAGGAGCAGGAACATCCACTGTATTCACACCTTTAGAGGTCATGTTATCTGATACTGAACACAGACAATGCAGGAGTTTCTGAAGTGACCCCATTCTATCCTGTTCTACTGAAAAGGTGCTAAGAGGTGTTCATTTTCATGAAAACGCAATCAAGAGCATGCAGAATGAACAGCTTGAGACGAAGCAACTGTCAACATATTGCTCTAAAATATCAAGTTTGTAGCATTTATTAAAGTTGTGTTTGATTCATACACCTCTGAACACATCTACACAGACTTTAAAAACTACATACTACATTTACAAAGAGCTGTGGAGCTCCGGAAACACAGATGGGTGCTCAGATGTTTTTGTTGGGTATAGATCAGACTGGTTTGTTTGAATTCATGTCATGTTTTGAAGTAGTAATCTTCAGGAGCTGAAATAATTAATCGACTAGCTTATTGAACATTAACAAGCAACTATATAGATAATAGACTAATTGTGACTTCTTTTTTTTTTTTTTTAGCAAAAATGCCAAAAATCCAATGGTTCTAACCTCTCAAATATTGAGATCTTCTGCTTTATTTAGTCTTCTCTGATAAACTAAATCTCTTTGGGTTTTGTAGGTTGGACAAAACAAACAATGTGATGATATCACCTCCAGTTCTAGGAAACATTTTAAATTATTTTCTGACATTTATAGACAAAACAATCAATGATTTAATCAATTAATCATAATCTAAAGATTCATTCATTGATAATGGAAATAATTGTCACTTGCTGTCTGTCTGATCTCACATCCAGACCTGCACCTCATCAAACTCACTAAGATCGGGAGTGCACTGGACAAAACTTATGTCTACTCTAACAGTAAAACCAACCAGAGGAGCCGTTTCTGAGGGTGGGTTCACAGATAAACCAGATAAAATCTTTTGCCGGACTGCTGTAAGCTTTGACGAAACAGAGGTCTGTCCAGGCAAGATTATCAAAGCTGCAGCTTCACTGATAGCTGATTAAGGAGCTCTTAGCGGTGGTCGCCGTTGGCAACCTCAAGGTTACCCTTACGGCCTTTTCATACAATCTATAAACAGGAAAATACAAAACTAAAGCCAAACATTTTCTCCTTTCCCCAGCCCTTACCTCATGACAGGCATACTAGCTGAGTGTTGTAATGAGCGCACGCTATCCGACAGCATTATGGAGAAGAAAGGGGGCATTAGTGGTCATCTTAGCACAGTACAGACAGTTGTACACAGAAAGAACAAGAGAACAAAAGAGACAGGCACACATACAGTACAAACCCTAATTTAATCTACTATATGTTAAATGAGCGAGTATTCTAAGTGCATAAATCCTATTAATCCTGCTTTATCCCATTAAGATCGATTGTGTATTAACACAGTGGGTGTGTGCTAATCCTGTACAACATGGCAAAATATCTTGTCATCACACACAAAAAAACCTGACCACAAAGCATGCATACACACACACACACACACACACACACACACACACACACACACACACACACACACACACACACACACACACACACACACACACACACACACACACACACACACACACACACACACACACACACACACACACACACACCCTTTGACCCCTGTCAGGATGGTCCCACCCCCAAACCAGCTGTGTGTTGAGGCTCATCCACGAGGCTGCATTTCTCAGCACACTGGTGCTTTGAGGGGCCTAATAATCTTGTTTGCGGCTCAGTAATCCAGATAGAAGAAGGGTGACAGGGGAGAAGACGGATTAGGATCTGGGGGGGCAGGGGAGGGATCAACTGGGGTTATATCTCCAATGGAACAATCTGTCATTGGTTTTTTAAAGGCTTATTTAACCAGGGGATATTACCAATAATGTATTATTAGATATAAGAGTAGAAGCCTTTGACACTTTGAAAAGCAAGACGGAAAATCAATCCATTAGATCTATGGCTACCGTAATATATCCCTTATATGAATAACAATGAGTTAATACAGACAGCTGGTGGCTGTAATGTAATTAGAATGGGAATTTAAAGATTATACGAGGTGAAATTGGTTATTAAGGGAGGTAACTAATGTCATCATCATATGACGTGCAAAATGAAATAAAGGCTAGGAAAGACAGGAATATCCATGGCAGCTGGATATTAAATATTAAAAAAGAAATGATGAGAACGATCTAATGGTTCTTCAATGTAAGTCTTGAGAAACCTGCAAAGGTCAAATATTGATGTGTTGTGTGTGCATTTTCAGAAATATGCTCGTTCGCGCTCCCACTGTGAGTTTAAAGGGAAGATCGATACCACTCTTATATCAGTTTGTTAATATAAAGCTAGAGCCAGGAGGAGTTAGCATAGCTTAGCACAAAGACTGGAAACAGGGGGAAACAGGTAGCCTGCCTCAAAACCAAAGGGAACAAAATGCACCAACCAACCCCTGTAAAGCTCCAGAATTAATATGTTATGTCTTGTTAGTTTTATCCATTCACAAACTGAAGTGTAAATTAACAAGTTGCTTTTACACTTAAATTGCCACAAAGTGCTGACTATTTAAATGGATTAAATTGTCAGCACGTTGAGATTTCCGGGCAATTTCTAGGAAATAAATCAGTTATTCAGGTATTCACAAAATGTGCAGTGCAGTGGAACATCAGTGGAATATCATTAACTTCTAAAGTTATTGGATATACCGTCACGCTGATGTCTCATGCCTGACTCACCTGACGTCCTCCAGCTTCCTGGTGATGGCTGAGCCCACATTGGAGAACGCTGCTGTCGCCTTCAGACTCGCCTGAGATAGTGTTTCAGATGTCCTCCTATAGCTGATAGACAGACAGACAGACAGACAGACAGACAGAGTGAGAGAGAAGTGATAGGTCGCAAAAAACAGAGGATATGAGAGTGATGAATACAGACAGAGAGATCTTGGACTGTAAAGAGGCATCAAGGTCAGAACTAAACAATTGAATGTCTTTTTCATTTTGCCAGAAAGCATCAGAATGTTTCTCATTTCCTGTATTGTGAAACCCATCAACACACAGGCAGCTTGTCAAGAGCACTGACATCTCTTTCCTCATTGTTCAGAGGAGAAAAAAAAAACCCCTCTTTCAACAGTGCTGACAGTTTCCAGGGCATTCAGATACAGAAAAAACCCCTCAGCATTATCAAAAGAGCAGAGAATCAGCACAGACCCTTGGTGCATATGTTGGGAAAATGGTGGATAATAAAGCTGTGGGTTTGTGAGGTTTCTACAAAAAAGGTGTAACGGCCTAAAATCAAGAGGCAAAATCTTGATACTGTGGTGGGGGAATTCTTACGCGGTGGAGGTGGTGACCTCCTGCCAGGTTTTGGTGATGTTCTGTTTCAGCTCATTGAGAGGTGTGATGCCCAGCTTCCTCTTAATGTCTGCCAGCTGCTTCTCCTTGGCCACCAGCACCTGGGACAGAGTCTGGATCTCATCCTCAACCTACACACACACACACACACACACACACACACACACACACACACACACACACACACACACACACACACACACACACACACACACACACACACACACACACACACACACACACACACACACACACACACACATTAATTAATTGGTTGATCAACATAAAAGGCAACTAATTTGATATTTTAAACACAAAATGCTAATCATTCTCTGGTTCCTGCTCCAGTGTGAGACGTTTCTGCTCTTTCCTGTTTTTAATATTGAAAGTGAGCATATCTGGATTTTAGACTAGAAACTGACTCATTTCTGACATTTTATAGACCAAACTGACTGATAGATTAACTGATTTTGCAAATAACCGTTAGTTGCTATCCCACTGGCTATTCTATATAGGAAGTAGAGGTTGAGTTACCAATTCTATAATTTGAGAAAGTTTACTTCTTAGAAACGTTCAACTAATGTAAACCTACAATGAATCACAACAGATGGTACACTTCAGGGTTTCCCACCAATATAATCATGGAGAAACAGCTTCTGGAAATATTGTCTGTCATGGGAATTACAAATTGGCAAGTAATCCAACATCTGAAGCCAGGTAAGTGGTTGGATCAGCTACAGGGGCAACAAGGGACCTGAAATGAGCATGTTGTTGTTATGGAAGGCAGTGCTTCTTATATACGTACAAAAAGCACTATGTAAGACCGTCCAAGCATAGGTTACACATGTACAACGTAACACCAGAGTCAAAAACAGCATACAGTTATTTTAAAACTTGAACCCTTCTCCGCAAGATCATGTCCAGCACCTGATCTTGACTTCCTGAACCTCTTGTAATCCCTGATCCCTCTCCTGACCTTGAACAATTCCTCCTGTAGCTCCTGCCGCTCCTCTTCTGTCATGGTCGGGGGAGGGGAAGCGGGTCCAACAGACGTCACTGCATCTTCTCCCATCTCTGGGACTGAGTCTGGATGCTGCTGGGAACCTGGGAGGTGAAATAAAAAGTCAGATACATCCACACCTCCAACATTCCAAGTCATGGGTCCCCTTTAAGGCGCTTTAAGAGTCTCATCTTTTTTTTTAAAGACATATAGGCGCCCATGTTTGTTGTGTGACAGTGAACAGGTGGGGAGAGGGAAAGCTGATGTTGGTTGTCAAACTCAAGCTGTCATGCCGTTCCTGTAGCATGGAAGAAAGGAAGCTGGTAGTTTGTGAAAGTTATAAGAGAGTAAGAAAAAGACAATCAAGGATGCTAAATATGGTGTTTGATGAGAATTGGTAGCCAAGAGGGAAAAGCTTTTTGCGATCCAAAACACAAGTTTCCATTCCTACTGGACATTTGCACAAAACCTTCTCACACACACACACACACACACACACACACACACACACACACACACACACACACACACACACACACACACACACACACACACACACACACACACACACACACACACACACACACACACACACACACACACACACACAGTGTACAGTGTCTTTGATGTTGCAGTCTCTGACAGGGCTGTGCCCAGTAGGAGCACCATTGCATCAATAATACAAAGAACTTTCTAGATGGAGACATCCTGGGCTCAGACAGCGTGAGAGAACACAGGAGCAAAGGGGTTGTTAGGAGCCGTCAGTCAAAAGGACAACAGCGGGTGAGGATGTTGTGAGCCGGCGCGGTGCTGGAATAGGGAAATACAAACGTGTCTCTGTGGTTATTTTCTTTTATCTGGTCTTCCTGAGAATTTCAGGGATTCAGAGCGAAAATGTGACGGTATTAAAAAAAAAGAAGAAACACCCCCCAAGAGTTGAATTAAATGATGTGGGAGGAAGGACACACAAAAAAGGAACTTCTAGAGAAAAGGAAATAGGACTGCACCGTGTCAGTACCTCACGGCACTCAGGCCTTATAACTTCTGAACCATGGTGCAAAACATTAACATTAGCTGTCAAAAAGCATTCTGAATATGCACTGAAGGTCCAAAACAAATATTCTGATCACATTAGCTAGATCTGCAGCAACCAACTGCTGCTCAAACACACAAAAAAACTCAAGTAGGCATTTTCAAACATTGGAATAAAGATGCACAACAGTAACTAACTCTGGTTTAAAGTTGTAAGTCTGTTTTACCTCTGACCACGCTCAGCATCACTAATGGATGTGGTCAGAAATGTGCTCTTTCCATCCTATGATCCCTGACCCCATAAAATATATATTTTTTAACTGAACAAAACCCCACATCCTCTCCTCCCACCTCATTCCAGAACACTTGGCGGCCATCCTCTCTTTCATGTCACACCCTGATACTCCCAATAAAACATTTTAACTGAGACAGAACATTTGTCGAGAACAGAGATACCAAAATCACAAGAATCTTGCAATATATACTCCCACAAAGACAGAGACAGTGGAATGTCCTCAGAACCGTCTGGAGAGCTGCTCGTGAAGCCGTCCAATCACACGGTGTTAACATAAAACTCAGGACTGGGTGGTGCCACTGCTCGTTCTTACACAAAATTAATACCATGGGAATAAGGATAGCTGATTGGATGAAAAGTGAAAATATTTACATGTCAAAACATGCATGAGGTTACATTTAAAGTGAGTAAATCATCTGACACAGGAAATGGAGGTGGGCATTACAGTAATTAGGTGAGAGGAAATGCAGTGGAAATGTCTTTTTCAGCCTTCAGCAAGAAACCACCCCCACGATTTCCTCAGAAGCATTACACTTCATCTGCCCTGAAGGTCTTTTCCCCTCATATATCTTTCTCTGGTCTTACATTTGCCCCCCTCCTCCCATTACTGGTGATACAGCAGTGACACACACTAACCCCCCCCACACACACACACAGAATATACAGATACACACCTGCTTACAGTGACAGAATTGTGTAATGGACACTTCCCCTTATAACGGCTGTGCTTCAGTATAATAGGACAAACTACTTTTATATTTCACCACATTATGCTGCTCGAGTGCTGAACATTTATTTGCCTCCAGAGTTTTTGTAAGATCACAGTGAGGGGTGAGAAGAACAGGCTCTGCGGGCCATCACCTCGCCTGAGTTATCTGCTATGTCAAATTTTGTAACACGTTGCTGCAGGCGGCAAAATGTTAAATCTGTATGTCTGAGTGTGGAGGTAGCTATAGAGTGACTGTATGATTTGTTTCCATCAGTAGATGCATAGAGCGAGAGAGAAAAAACAGACAGTGTGTGTAGGCAGAAGTTTGGCTTGCTACACCAAACTGCATACCCGCCCACATTACTGCCATACCCCTCTGCTGTAGTTCACTTCCTCTTAAGACTATCGTGTTCAAATCCACAAAAACTAATTAGAAAAGTAAAGCTATAAAGCTGAAGCATGCATTTAACACATAATTATCTCTTCTTTTTTACAGTGACAAGCAAACAATGCTACTGTTAAAAAAGTAAAAAACTATCAATGAAAACCTCCATACCTGTATATACCATAACAAAACAATAAAAGCTTTTTCTGTGGCAGTGTGGCAAAGACAAGATAAAAAAAAAGCAGTCACACCAGATTTGTTATGAAGACATTTCTGTTTCTCTCCAATCCAAACTCAGCTGACAATATTAAGTTATCCCTGATTCGCTGGGCTACGTTTCCAGAAAGCTCAAGTTTATTAAATTTTGTTTGTGAGACAATGGAACAAACAGCACATCAGCTGCCACCAAAATGTGGCTCTGACGTACTGTACAACATAATCTTAACTTCACTCAACAGATTGACTGATGTGACGGAAAGCATTACACCAGGGATATTATATGGTCTCTAATTCCTACATTGAAAGACGGCACAATATCAAATATGGGCCATTTTCTAAATGTGGACCCCAAAAGATATGCCAACACCTCCTTGGCATTAAAAAAATCATAACTTCTAACTTTAAGAAAGCACACACAGCAATCTTCAATGCAAATCTATGAGCACACAACACCAGCCTACTGCGTGTGTGACCAAAACATTTGGTGAGCAAAGCATGGTCGGTTGGAGCAGAGATTTGAGCGATGAAATAATCATAAGCATTCCAAAATAGATTGAGTCTCATTTAGAAGTGATGATTTTCTAAAAAAGTAAAAATAAAAAGCAGTTTAGAAGCCTGAAAACTAAATGAAACTGCAAATCTGCTGTCACACACACAGCTCCCAGTTTCCCCAAATTCTTGCTGTCCATTGAACCAAACCCATGTTTTGTCTTTCTGTCTCTCACACACACACACACACACACACACACACACACACACACACACACACACACACACACACACACACACACACACACACACACACACACACACACACACACACACACACACACACACACACACACACACCTCCTCCGCCCAGCCTCTCCCTTTCCTCCTTGTGATTACCTCTGGTTTTGACAGCTGGCGAACTGGGCGGCGTGTCGCTGTAGGCCGGGGAGAGGTAGAGGTAGTTGGTGTTGACTCCTTGTTCAAAGTCAAACGGAGAGTGATATTCCTCCAGCGGCTCCATGTTTATGGCCCGTGGTGTGTTGACGGTCGGAGTGACAACCACCTCCCTACTGTCACCACTACCTAAGCAGAAACAGCCAAATGCTGATTGCCTGCATGTGATCCAGGCGCGTGCTGGCTCTGTGACTCCTTGTGTATGGCGTCCTGGACTCTTGGTGTGTGTGTGTGTGTGTGTGTGTGTGTGTGTGTGTGTACAGACAGGCCGAATATCCAAGTGTGTGTATGTACGTGGGAGGAGATTTTTGTATTGGCTTTCAGGTAGTCAGAAGGTCGGAGTGAGAGAACACTTCTCCCTTGTCAGTTTCTGCAGCAGGCCAAGGGGCTCTGATCCCTCTGGTCCTTTTCTCGCTGTTAATAAGTTACCTGTCCCTTCAAGCAGCTGTTACATCAGACACACTCACACTCTCGCCACACACATACGCACCCTCCCTCTTCCTCTCCACCGTAATCCCAAAGGTCAATTCTCAGTCCATCCTACAAATTTCTGCCGTTCTCAGATGTTGGCCGTCGTTAGCAGAGCTAGTGCTGCAGTATTGCGTGACACTCCAGTTCCAATACTCTCAGGTCTCTTTGTCAATTCCCTCCCTCCCTTTACTTTCCGTCATCAAGCCTGTCATCCAAGGAGGAAATAAAAGAGGTCTCATTTGTGTGGGCTGGTCATGTGATGTGTGTGTGTGTGTGTGTGTGTGTGTGTGTGTGTGTGTCTCTGTGTGTGTGTGGGGGCATTAGATGAAAAGCATAATCTGCAGTGTCCCAGATTACAGCAAAGCGCTAATCCAGGGCGGCCAGTCCAGCTTGGAGTAGCAGTAATGCTAGTCAGATAGAGTGGAGGGGAGAGGATGCCAGAGGCTACACTTGGTATTGTGTATGTGTGTGTGTACTTTAGGGAAAGTGCACTATGGTGTGGTAAGGAGAGCATGTACATGTACACGTGCCGCTGTGTGATGTTTGTGAGTTCATACTAGGCCTGCAATTAATGATTATTTTCAGCCATCAATCAGATTATTTTCTTGATTGACTGATTGATACATAATATGTCCAAAATACCCATCACAATTTTTAAAAGCCTAAGCTGATATATTCAAATTCTTTGTTTTGGCTGTCAACCAGTCCAAAAACCGAAAGATATTTATTTTAATATCACAGAGGAGTAAGAAAACCAACAAATATGCACATTTGAGAAGCTGGAATCAGTAAAATGTTGGCCATTTTGCTTGGATTTCTTAAACATACTACAATTAAGTTTTTAGCTGGTTAATATAAAACACTCTCTATGACCTATATAAACCAAAAAGACCATCAGCGATAGGATTGGCTGTTTCTAGTTCTTCATAACGCCTGGCCACCGGGTCGGATTGCCCTTAAAAATCAGACAAAGAGAAGAAACCTAACCGCTGTTGTCCACAGGGGTCGCCAGGATCAACACAAAATGAAAGTCTCTTGTTGATGCTTTAAATGATAAGCTGATGATCAAAATAGTTGCCAATTAATTTTCTGTAATAATAATAATAGCGCTTCTGGTTCACAAGCAAGTATTAACATCCTTATCACTTGGTCACATAAACAGATTTAAACACATGTAGGCTTTTACACGGTACATTATATATATATATATATATATATATATATATATATATATATGTGTGTGTGTGTGTAACTACCAAACCACATAAAACACTGATCAAATATTTAGAGGTAAGAATTCAACCTGCACAAAGAGAGCAAATATGCAGGTATAAGTCATGTCTCATTTCATTTAAATACATTCATGGAGTGTCAATAGAAATCAGGCTTCTCGGTGTGCGTGCACCTGCTGGTACTTGCAAGGCTGCAGCGAAGTGGAAAAGCAGTCTGGTGACATTCCAGCACTAGTATTATGACTGAAGATGTAGATGCTGTAAAGATTTAGAGTAGCTAAAACAAAATGGAGAGAGTCATCCTGAGCATAAAATTGGTCAGAACATGAGAGTACAGTATAGAGAGCTGTAAGAAATCAGGATTACTGCATGATAACTATTCCTAGAAGGAAGCACGCCTAATATTCTAACGTGAAAAGATTATTGTGTGATACCTTAGGACAGAGCACACAGGTGGCAGAAGGTTGGCAGAAGGAAAACCTATGTTTTGACCAATGTAAACATCAACACATGAAGGCTCATTCACACAAAAACAGCCAAAGTAATGTCAAAGAAAAAAACTGACCTAAACTGTTCACAGTACACTGATTTCCCATCCACCATTCCTCTGCAGTTTAGAGCCAGGCGAGCATGTTTGTGCGATCTTGTACAGGAAATACTTTGCATTAAAGGGAGAACGACGGGGGCTGTCCTGAAGTATTGAAGTACTGGGGGACAAATTCCACAATCATCTATGTCCAAGTGAAGAGAGTGGAGTTTTCAACTTTCAACTCAAGCTGTGTGTACTATAAAATATATGAAAGGGTACATTTTTCTATAGAGAATGATAGAAGTGATGATGTTCTGTACAATCCAAATCACATGTATGCAAGTCCAGCTAATGTAACTGTACTGTGGCTTGATCTGCAGTGTCAGGCTTCATTACATTGTGTTTCCACTGAGCAAGGTCAGCCCAGGAAGTGACACACATACAGTCACTCGTCGCAAACTATCAAATATCAACATGCACTGAAATAGGCCCGTATCAAGGACAATGAATCCTTGCCAGTATCTTTCATTTCTTGCTTCTCATATTTTGTCTTTTGATTCATTTTTGTGAAAAGGCAACCAAAACTGTGCATCAATATTGCAACTAAAAGTCTTACATATCCAATAACAGGTGCACACACAAGCCTGTCTATACCCCCCCATCCATAAGCCCCTCCTTTCACAGTGAAAAGCCAAATCGGTTTAAGTGTGACACATCTGAGGCTGCATTATTCTGAGACAAAATAATACAGTTAAATGTTTATTAATGGTAAGATAAAAAGATAAATTGTTTGTTTTTTACATCTTAATTAATACTCAACATCACTTCCTCCCTGCAGCCCTGCTGACCAGTGGAGCCACTGAATCATGAGTGACACTTGATTCATGTGACATTAGTTAGAAAACCACCGGTGTGCTGAAGTCACAAATTTACTTTTAAAATAATCTCTAAGCCAAAAAATCTCATCATTCTGTTCTTGTATTGGACTGGATCGTTTAATATGTTTGATTTATAAACCGAAACAGACAAGAGCGTGAAAAACAACCCATGGCACCCAGACTGTAACCAGGAACAAACAGCCATTTTCAAGTGGTTAATGAAGCACAGCATGACATCAATTACCTCACTATTCATGGCATACCCTGTCACATGATTAACTTAAAACAAGAATCATGAGACATGGATGACTTGGGATGCAGTGAGAGGGTCCACAAAGTTCCCATGACATGTGCATCATGGGAAAACAGTAAGAAGGGCAGAGAGCGGCTACACCTCAGATAAAACACATATACTGTAAATGTAGTGTGTACAGTAAATGGACACCTGAATGAATGAATGAATGATTTATTCTTTACTATAGAGACGGTGTCGTGTCTTCATCTCTCTAATACATTTTAACAATTTGAGTCATCCCACAAATGTGTGTCTGTGTAACTGAGGCTCTCTGTGGCAGGATTGTAGATTCACATCTAGATTACAGCTGTTTAAAAGGAGCAGTTTGACATATTTTTGGAAATATAATTATTGGTTTTATTGCCAAGAGTTAGATGAAAAGACTGATACCATTCTCATGTCTGTACAGTAATTACGAAGCTACCACCAGAATCCAGTTAGCTTAGCTTAGCTTAGCATAAAGACTAGAAACAGCTAGCCCTGTCCAAATGGAATAAAATCCTACCACCACCTCTGAAGCTCCCTAAACGACACATAAAAACGTTGTTTGTTTAATCGGGATTGTTTAATCCGTGGTTTATACTGTATAAACACTAAATTACCTATTTAACATAAAGACATTAGTGAACAATCTACTCATCTCAGTCTTGGCAAGAAAGCAAACAAGCCTATTTGTCAAAACATATTCCTTCAAACAAGATAGACATACAAAATCACGTTAATTCTTCAAACCTAAGGTCTGACATCTGCAGACCTATCCTGAATATATACAGGACAATGACGTTGAAGAAGAGGCCTGTTTCCGTAGTGATAAGAGTTACCCAGTGACAGTTGGGGGACTGTGCACACAGTATGATGGTTGATGCAGGGAAAGTTGCGTGTGGCCCAGCTCTAAAACAAATTTCCTACATCTCATTCTATTTGGCTCGTAAATATAAAGCTAATGGAGGTTATACAGTATTATCTGTATTTCTTTTTTAAAAATTACTTTTATTATTATTCTTATTATTCTTATTATTATTAAATGCAGTTATAATCCTGTACTGTTTCAATGACATCTCACACAGGCTCACACTCAAGACACTTCCACCGGCTATTATTAATACTATATTAATTAACTGAGAAATATAAAAACTAAAGCTCTGCAAAATTTGTCCAAAGTTATGTGCAACAAACAATAGAGGGATGTCTCTCAGGAATCAGGAGTTAGGCCTACACCAGCACAGTATTTGTACATCTCATTTACCAATATAAGTTAATTTCTTAGGTTATGTTATTTAGGTTTTATACTCTATACACCGACTATGCTCCATCTGACAGTGAGGCCCCAAGTTTCTCTCTACAGTGTCATGTTGGAAGATACTGAGCCTGATGCCAGAGCTACCAGACGGGTGAGACCTCTGCTTGGCCAAATCTCACACGTTAATGACAAATTCTCCATAAAGAACACATATAAAAAAATGTAATAATCATATCATAATTTCAGCTGATCATTTCTGTGGTTTCAAAGTTAGGTAAAAAAGACAATCAAAGACTGCATTTTAGTGCTACATCAGATCATTTACACATACATGACATGTTTAGTACTGACATCTATATTTAGGTTATCTTTGCCTGAACTTGTCTTTTCATAAATGTTTCCATTATCCTCTCTCAGTGCTGCTGGGAGCTGACAGAGCCCATACAGAAGCTTTAAAAGGCTGGCCTGTTCATTATATAGAACATAGGGGACAATTCATCATATAATACCACATTTGCTAACTTTAATTCATGGAACGAGGAGCTCAAAGATCAAAGTTTTAAAATACACAAGGGGATTTCCCTTTAATCTTTGAGATGAAATGTGCAAATCTGGTGACACCAGTGAACCGGGGCAGGTTCTGTGGTTAGGCTCAGAGTTTCAGGTAGCATGTTTTAGCTCAATGATGGCTCACATCCAACCCGTCAAGAGCTCTTTTTGCAACGACTTGTGACAACCACAACTGGTGTGTTTTTTTAAGTAAGTGACAGTTTTGCCAAAAAAAGTGTCCAGTTCCACCTACATGGAACAATTACACAAGAGTTGCAGTTGTATTTGACCGACAATACTCACATGATAGATCAATACTTTAATTTACCCTTGAAATTTTGCCATGACATGATCTTAAATACACGTTTTGAAAGTATGATGTTGTTTCTAACTCGAACAAGTCCGCTGTATG